TGTGATTTTTTTGTAAATGGATTTCTTTGTCTTTAATGTATCTAAAACGCAGTATCAAGGTTGAAGACCCAGATTTGCGGCCATCCAAGGTAAAGGATGATTGGTCTTTACTCCTAGAATAAAATCTGTTTTCTGCGGGCAGAAGTTTAATAATTTTAACCCCCCCCCCTCTTTCTCTCAATTTGTAATTAAAGCCTTAGCAGAAGCTGGTGTCATCCCCTACAAATTATCTTCAAAAAGTTGGTTCAATTCCTGTGGACCCGAAGGTCAAGAGAACTTGAAATTCTTTCCTGATAGGTAAATTTATACTCACCTCTTTTCCTCATCAATGAATTTCTGTTTTGCTCTACTAATTATATGCTGTTTTTCAATAGCATAGAATGAATTGTTATGCCACCTTATTATGTTAAGCACCTTTAAGAAAATATCTTATATAGAAGCTTTGTTTTTTGACAAATAATAGGGACAGTAAATCAACGTCCTTACATGCATTCACTTTATTCATGATGCAACTAAGAAGAAACAGCAAAAGCAAGCATTGGCAAGCTAATCAGAAATGCTTAATTGTTTGCCTTCATGTGAATGAGATTCACATCAAGAATATTGTATTGCACTGACAGCCAGTTTTGTGATAGAATTTTGTATCATGAAGAGATAGGTTGTTTCACTGCCTCTCCTATATTAGATTGAAAGTTAAGGGAATTTAGTACCTGAAAGTTTATTTTAGGGTTATGGGCTCCTACGTAAAGATTAGCCTTCACCTTGCTTTCATCATATATAATGAATTAGGGGATCTAAGATAAGCCTTTTGATGAGCCATGAATCTTGCAAGTCGTGGTAAGCTTACAGAAAGTACTTGTCTTTAATGTTTCCCCATTGCTCTAACTTCTCTTAGATATTGTTTGATCCAAGGAAGTACCAAGCTTTCATAACTGATTTTATTTGCTTTGGCCTACTGTTTCTGTAAATATTATTCAACATGATGGGAAAATTGATGAAAATATTGCATATAGCACACAAGTTAGGTTGTTTAATTGGAGAAAGGCTAAAGGAATTACTTGTAATCATACTTAATAAACTTAAAAAAAAGTTTTATCATGCAACAACAACAACGGGAAGTTTTATTATGCTGCTATAGAAATAGCTATGTTATGTGGTAGTAAATGTTGGGCTTTAATGTGATAGCAAGGGATAACGTTAGAGTGGCAGAGATAAGAATGTTGAGATGAATGTGCATGCATACACATAAAGATAAAATTCAAAATGAGCATATACAAGAAAAAGTGGGTGCAACACCCATTAGGAAGGGTAGAGGAAGGTCAAAAAAAATATTTTTGGAAGTTGTTGAATGAGACTTTTTAGTTAGCAACATTTTTAGAAGTTTGATAAATAATAGAGTACAATGGCATCGTGCAATTCATATAATCGATTTCATCTAGTGGGATAAAGGCTTCTTGTTGCGTACTGTTTCTGTAAATATTGTTCCAAAATTACTGGATCAAGATAGCTGGCTCTTCTTTTATGTAACTTTCTATAATTCTACCAAACCCTGAATATACACATACCTATGGATATGAGAAATGTCAAGAGTCGAAGCTTATTTGAGCAGTTATTGGAAATCATGTTCAAAGTATGACTTTGATTGTCTCTTGATTTCACTGCAAATACTTAAACCAATCAGATGTTATAATTCCAAAGAAATCCAATCCTCTCTTTGGAAAGAGGCACATTAGGTATGAGATATAATAAAGTAGCACATACGGAGTGATTCTGAAAGTTGATATTGTTAATTATAAATTATAAATTATTGATCTTTATTCTGTTCCTTATCTTTTTTATTTATACTCATTCATGTTATTATTTAAACTGTGCAGATACAATTTAAGTGCGTCTACATCTTATCAAGGTCAAGATTTCTGAAAATGGCATCCATGAAAAAAGGTACACTGAAGCCTTCTTTGACACTTGTGACTTGCCTCACTTTGGCAGAGAAGCATGGTTCTTGCCACAAGCATGAGTACAGAGGTTGTCTTTATTTTTTGCATTGAATCAATTTTAATTATTTTTTGTTGCTTCAAAGAGTGACGGAATGTGTCTTAAAAAATCCTGCTTTAAGACGATCCAAAAATTCTTTCCACTTTAATTTGCTAGAAGTGTTAGTTAATTCCATTAAGCCTATTTGTTTTTTACTTCTTTCTTTTCATTTAGGACGGATTTGCAGAGATAAAGAGGTGTTGAAGACCAAAATTACCATACGACCTTCTTTTTCTGTTTGTCATGCAGAGTCTGCATACATCTTACCCTTTTGTAATTATCTATTACTAATTATTTGATTTTGGTCTTGGAATCCTAAATTGCCATATAATAAAAGTATATTGTAGGTCAAAACATGTCTTTTATAGGAGAGTAACTGTTTAATTATGAATAGAGCGAGTTTACAATAAATCATTTATGTTTACATGTTTTCAGTTACTTGTCATCCTTCATAAGGGGAAAAAGAAATAAAAACCTTCTCTATGCAACACATAGGGATTAAAAATCAATTTGACGAAGAACATGTAGCTTTCCTAGATTATATTCATGTTAGATTAAATGAATTTCAATATCTGTAAGACTTTTAATAACTTTATTTTTTCCAAGATTCCATTTCATGTTCAATTAAATATTTCTCATTACAAATTAAACTTGACGGACTTTTAGAGCCTTGCCCAATCAAATTTTACATCGGCATGTATTAATATAATTATATATAGTAGAAGATGCTGAAACCAATTTGGTCAAAGGAAAATTGCTTGAACCAATAAAATGTTTGGCTGATCTAGTTGGATTTTTAAAACCTTTGTTATATGTACCTTGTGGGATTGAAATTCAAATCTTCCACCCATCATATCTCACCTCATTTTTAAGTTTAAGATATAGTGTGCGTTTGGTTTTCAGTTTGTTAAAAGTCAGTTTGATAAAAGTTTATTTGGCAAAAGTCAGTTTTGTGAAAGTCAGTTGTTGTAACGAAATTTATATTTGGATATATTTTTTCAAAAGTTAATTTGGCAAACTGAAAGTTGTTTGGATTAATAAAAATTTATGCTTTTCAAATGTACTTTTTAATATGTAATGATCAAAAAGGACATTGATTTATGATAATTTATAATTTTTATTATACAAGTGTAATATATTAAAAAAAGGTGAAACAAATTTAAAATGACATAAAATTTAAAATGTTAAATATTAAGAATAAAAAAATAAAATTTAATTTTGGAAAAAAATTATGTAATAAATAGTTAAACATTCATTAATATTGAATAGTTACATGATTAATGGTTCGATCTATAATATACAATCTGATCTCTAATAGAATCTTAAACCCTATTCATTTTTCTATCAGAAGCTATGCTTGAAATTACACCTGGAATTGTTGATGAAAATGCAGGCTCATCAGTATCATCGATAGTGTTAACCATCTTTTCATCTTCAAAATGCTTGAAGTCAGAATCAGTTACAGATTTTCTTCTAATAAAATTATGTATAGTCATTGTTGCACCAACAATACGAACTTACTGCACAAATGGATAGCTAGGCATATGTTGTAAGATTGCAAATCTATTTTTCTAAACCCCGAAAGTCCTTTCAATCGTGGTCCTTAAGCTTGAATGATAATAATTAAAAATCTCATTATTATTTGCAAATCCAGATGAACGCTTGAAATCTGGGAGGTGGTACCTATGAGATCTATAAGGACCTAAATATTCACGTGGAGTTGGATAGCCAGCATCTAACAAATAATATTTACCTACCAATAAAAAAACAGAAATTATAAGATCCCAAAAATATTAAAATAATTGTTTAAATTAGATAAATATGAAATATACCTTGAGGTGGATGTGGAAATTTCATGTCCGGCCTTGTGAGAGCATAGTCAAACAAACGAGCATCATGAGCAGTCCCTTCCCATCCAGCCATGACATAAGTTAAGCACATATCCCAATCACATGCGGCCATTATATTTTGTGTTGGAATACCTTTCCTTCCAATATATTTCCCTTGCTCTTCAACATTAACCACACACGGGATATGCGTGCCATCAATTGCTCCTATGGCATCTTTAAAGAATGGCCAATATCACGGATCACCTAAAATTTTTGGATAAATATCTTGAAAAGTGCGATCTTTTGGTTGGATATATTCCTTTGTTAGCTTCTCACAAGCATGCAATACATTTCTAAAATGCCTGTGAACAGTCTCTGCTGAATGTTGAAATCATTCTTGTGCCATCCTATTCTCCACTCCATGTCCAACAATATTTAGGAACATACCGACCATTTCATGAATCTCTGTTCTTCTGGTTGGACGTAGGCCATGTTGCACTAGTTCATCACAAAGTTGAAGAAAAATATCTTTTTCTATATGAAACATATCATAACAACGTTGAGGATGCCCTTGCAAAATTTCTTGCACCTATGCATGACCTGATTGCGAACTGGTTCTACAAGGCTCTTTCAATAAAGTTATTGAGTAATTGGATATTATTGCAGTAATAGCCTCAATCTCATTGTCTTCCGCATGTACAAGTATTGTAATAAGCAAAATTGCGTATTGTCATCCATAAAAACTGCATAGCATAATTAAACAACCATTACACTATTTGTCCATGACTTAACGTAAGAACACATAACACAAGAGTCAAATAACACAGTCAGTTTCAAAACAAATTAACAACATGAAAGACACTAGCTAAATTTTAAAACATTAGAAGGCAAGCTAAGATGATCTAATTTCATTTTTTGCCCAAGCACCTCAAATAGGCCACTAATGCTCTTCTGTTGTCCCTAAGCCCAATATACATGTCCCTTGCGGTCTTATCTAGCAAGGCCACAGCACACTATCCAAGAAGCACCTCATCATAAGCAATCTCCTCGATTCCATAAAGTTCTTTTGCAACCTCCAACACATTTTGGTCAACTGGTTTTGTTCCATCCTCTATGGAATTAAGAATTGTTGAAACCCTATCCTCTTGTGTGGACACCAATCGACACTGAATCAACTATCACCATTGCAAGACGCTTTCCCTTTTTGTTTTGACCACTTTCACCTCTCTTTCGCTTACTCCCTGAATTAGTACCACTACTGTATGCATTATTTAAGTTAACCTGCCCAATTTTTGGGAAAGCTCCTCCATTAATGTTTCTTATATCATCACTGTCTCCTGATCCTTCGATCAAATCCAATTGAGGCCTGTACACATCTTGTGGATCATCAGTCGTAGGTGTCCACATGTAAGTACCCTGTGTTGCAATTGGCTGGAACAACTGTGTCAATTCTTGTGCATATGGAAGTGATCTATGCCTGAATTTCCTATACTCAGGATTCTCCTGCACATTTACAAGAACTGAGTCTAGTATATCTATAAAATAAAATATGGAATGTATAGTATGCCATGTATAATTGTATACCTTAATCTTTTGACTCTACCACTCCTTTGGTGCTGAAACAGTATTCTTTTCACTATCCCATCCCAAACCGGTCTCTTTGTTCAATAGCTTGTCCCATATATTCCAATCTTTCCTCAAATTGTTTCATTTATTCTTCAACTGCTTCTTATCATAACTTCTTGAACTCAAAGCATTGAACTGTTGCATTAGTGCCTCCCAACCCTCCTTTGATAAGGTAGAGCCTTTACGCTCATTTTTCTTAACTTGCTGGAGAGCTAATTTAATAAACAATTTGGTCTCTTCGGTAGTCCATAGTGCCTTCTCTTTACTCATTTTTACTATCAAAATATCACATTCTCAATACACATGAAATTTGAGGAGTAAAAATCCATAATTGAGTTAGAGTTAAAATATTAAAAATTTTACTATCCTTTTTTATCCTTCTTAAAAATTTTACTATCCTTTTTTTGGAAACAAAAAGAGAAAAAGATTATTCGATCATAGTTAATTAACCACTTGTTATCTTAGCCACATATACTTGTTGAAAGAGGCAGTTATTCAAAAGCATCCATAAGATAATTTCTGCACTCACTCAAAAATTTAAATCATATAATTCAATAGTATGTATTAAAATAAGCAAGTTTGACCAAAAATTTGTAGCCTTTCTCATCCCTTCATCAATTTTCAAAAAATAAATTAGCTCAAATTCTTATCAAAATGAAATTAAAAAAACAAAGCAATATAGAACAATCAATAGATCAGTCACCAGAATATATTTCCAAAATACCGTGTCATATTTCAAAACATCAGCAGATCAACAGAATAATTACAAAATGCAGTCATAAATAATATTCTTGCTTGCTTATTTTTTCTTGTTATGTGAAGCTATCAAAAGAAGGCAATTTAAAAAAATTACACCAGTCTGAAAAATGAAAAAAAACAGACCAAAATGCTTCATGGTGGTCTGAAAAATGAAAGAAACAGACCGGAACAAAATAATTACAATATGCAGTCATAAATAATCTTCTTGCTTGCTTATATTTTCTTGTTATGTGAAGCTATCAAAAGAAGGCAATTAAAAAAATTCATACTAGTCTGAAAAAGAAAAGAAACAGACCGGAATGCTTCACGATGGTCTAAAAAATGAAAGAAATAGACCGGAATGCTTCACGGTGGTCTGAAAAATGAAAGAAACAGGCTGGAACAGTGGCTTCACGGTGGTCCAAAAAAGAAAAGAAACAGATCAGAACAGAGCTTCACGGTGGTCCGAACAAGAAAAGCAACAGATCACATCAAAGAGCAGAACAAAGTAGCACCATTTCCAGATCTGACAAAAAAAGTTTGGAGGCTATCATACCTTGCAGATCGAAGAGCAGATCGGAGAAGAGGATTGGAGTTCCACGAGCTGGTCGGAATGTTCACCTTTACACTCCACAAGTTGCAAAAGCTGCTGGTCGGAGTTCTCTCAGCTCCGAAATGCCGCCCAAGTCCCAAAATGAGCTTGATCCGTGAAAGAGATGGGGAGAAATTAATGGTGAAATGCAGCCACCGTTGATAAAGGAAGGAGAAGCTTAGGGAAGGAAGAGATCTGGATGTATGATGGTGGAGGAAAGGCGAAGGAGAGAAGGAGAAGAGATGGCCAAACGGTGGACTAGCGGCGGACGAGTGGCGGACTAACGGCGGACACAGAGCAGCAGCAAAGGACGAAGAACACTAATGTATCAGCTGCACAAATGAGGACCACGAGAGGAGAGTATGCGTGATATGTATCAGCTGCAAAAGTGAGGGGCATCATGGTCAATAAACAAATTAGGTACCAGCAATAAATGTCCATCCAACTGATCACGTTTTGAAAGCAACTGGGAGTAGCTTTGCAAATTTTTTCATTTCAAACGTATTTGAAAGTCAATTTAAAAAGTACATTTTGTCTGAAAAAAGAAAGCCAAACAACATTTTACATTCAAAAAGTTAAAATTTACTTTTGGAATGTAAACGTAATCAAATTCAAACACACACATAATCTTAATCATGTTTAAAAAACCAGATCAGATTGAAAAACAAAAAGTTGGTGGGTTACAATTTTTATGATGAACTAGTTAAATTAGTGGTTCAACTAGTGATATAATAATTAAATAAAAAAATATTCACATGCATGGGTGCACACACATGAATAAAATACTAAAAATACCAACAATATCATTTTTAATTCAAAGTTGTTCAATTATAACATATTGAGTTTTATTTTTTTTCATATGTATAGTTTTTTTTTTGGTGAATTCATGTGTATAGTTTTTTATTCACCTTATTCCTCTTTTAAAGCAAATAAGTTTTTAATTTTCTGTGCAATTAATTCATATAATGCCAAGAAACAAATAATACTGAATTTCATTATGATATCCTAGAGGAAAATTGACATTAATATTTTTAAATTAAATAAAAAAGTATTACTAAAATAAGAGTAAAAATGGTTTTAAAGTGGTCCAACCATTTCGGTTTCTGGATTAATTATGGTTCTATCAAAATTGCTGGGTTCAAAGAGGTCAAAAATGGTCCAACCCTTTAATGAGTTAGTGAGTCAAGTCAAGTTTTTTTTGTATTAGAGGAACGGTTGGTTTGAGTCTTAAAACACTTATCTTAATAAGGTTAGATCAAGCAGAATATACTAATTACTTACAACATCTTAAACTTAAAGTTCAAAGAGGATACCAGAGCGCACTCAAATAAAATATAAAGGCTTATTTGCTTCTTTCCTTATATATATATATATATATATATATATATATATATATATATTTTTAAAAAGTAAGACACATTAAAATAAAAAATATTTTCCCATATGTGAAGAGTGTAATTATAATATTCTAGATTTCCGCACGTCTGATGCACTGCAATTGTTATATGATAATTGTTATAAAAAAGAAAATATTAATTTAAATTTAAGATTGTGTACCATAGCTATTCCTTTTATAAATCTTGCTACCAATATTTTCTCTCAATGCTTTTCTAATTTATAATTCATTTTAACTAATACTTCAATATTTGTTTACACACACACATTTGTGGGACGGGGAATAGTTGGATTCACCGGCGAGGAGGCGCACTTCTTCCCAATGACCGATCCAGAGCATCACTCATGGAGGCCAAAATGACAAAAATTCATAAAAGTGTGGGGCCAAAAATAGATTTCTTTTTTAATTTTTCGGTAAAAAGTATGAAAAATTAAAAAAAAAAAATCACATGGGGCCCTTAGATCCGTCCTTGCTTGTTCCTTGTGATCCCCGACGTGCACATTGAAAACGTTTTGGTCACACTATTGATGATTTCCCTCTTTTAACAATTTTATAAATATTTAATTTAATTTAATATTCACACATAATACCTATACTCACACATAATACCTATATCATTTATATTTATATTTATAAATAAAAATGTTATGAAACAACAGTTATAAATATTTAATTTAATAAATTAATAAATATTGTTATTTATGAACAAAAAATAAAATTTTCAGTTATCAAACATATCCAAACATATCTATTTCATTAATTACGGGAGCATCCTTCAACAGCCATATTTTCATTTTCTCATTCGCAATGAGCATGGAGGCATTGCAGCAGAGCGCTAGTGTGGGCCCCTGATTCCTTCAACGGTTAAAATATATGTATAAATATAGCTATATATATGTGTGTATAATAATATAATAATTTTTGTCTCCTTCCATTTCAAATCTGGTCTCTTTTTCAACTTAATAAATAATAACATTAAAATTGATTGATTGATGGCAGTTGAGAAAAGAATGATGGCGATTCTTTCTTTCTTTATTATTATTATATATTTTTATTTTGTTGATACCCCAAGGCTTCAAAATTAACCCGAATGACGGCGACTCTCCCAACGTTCTAATATCCAAAAGGCAAAACCCTGGTTTCATTAACCGTCTTCTCTCCTCTTCTTCTTGCCGTGTGCTCAGTGATCTGCAACATTTCGTTCGACTCTCATCTCCTACGATGACTTCGTCTGCTCTAGTCCATTCTTGTTTTTTCAAATCTTATTTCCTGAACCGATTAAACCTCGTCCAATACCCTAAACCCCAGAATTCCATTATTTCTATATCTATCTTGTGCTGATCATTCTTACATAATTCCTCCAGTTTCCATCTCACTCGCGGAATCGCCGCCGCCGCATCCTCCACCACTGTTCCTGTATATCCACCCTCGCGGCATTCAGCGCCGTTTCCGTATCTGCTTCCGCCACAGCTATGCCCATTCCTACTGTCGTGCCACCGGCGGCCGCCTCCTCTTCCACGAGACTGAGCTTCGTTCACCCTCATATTCCGGCCACCAAGGCTCTGACCTTTCATGCCGTCGATCGTATCTATCCCTCATGGACTGATCTGATCCCCACTCTCTTGACTTTCCTGTCTCGCGATCGTTCGATTCGATAATGTGGCCAAAAGGAGCAAAGGCCTTGCCGAGGGCATCTTTGTCTCTCTCCCCATTATTCTTCAGGGGCTCGAAGGTATACTGTCTTATTATTAGTAGTTTTTTCTCGTATCCTCAATCTAGAAATTCTATTTATGCTTGTCGTTTCACTACCAGTTAGGCCATGAATTGTTAAAAACAATAAAATGGCAGCAAAAGATGACGGTGGTGAGGCAGACCGTGGCAAACATTGCGTGGCTTCTCCCATCTGTTCAAGATGTCACTGATCGTATCAGGTACCAGGTACTCTTCGTTTATGGCTCATAATACTGATATATTATTTCTTAAATTTCTGCTGATGTTCTTTTCTTTTAAAGTTTAACTACCCCCCGGTTAATGTTTGACTACTTAATTCAGAACTCCTAGTGAATATAATGTTATTTGCTGTCATTTTCGAAGTATTCTGACATTTTATGATATATCCTTTCGAATGGAGGGTCACTCTGTTGTTGATTGCTGGGTGGATTTATGATATTTTTTGATACCTGTTAGCATCCATCTTGTGTGTTACGGAACCAATACATCATACCTTATGGTCTGTGTCATGTTGTATTGTTGTTCACTACTTCTTTTATCTAAGAAGAAAGAATTTCTCAGTTAGAAAATACTATTACATATTGTCCATGAAATTGTTTTGCAGCCACATGCTTGATGCATTAAAATGACTCCACACAGCTTCCTTTTTTATGGATAACCATCACACCAATCTTCTCTATTGTGATTGATGTAGGACTCGAGGAAACCACTATTCACATATACCATATATAACTAATTGCATTCTTTTTCTTTTTTTCCTCTTAGTGCTTTTTGTTAATTTTTCTTACATTTTAAATCTTTTTTAAATAGAAG